TGGTACTAGAATCCAATAATAAGCAGAAATCTATTCAACTAATCAGCATTAGTTTATCTGCCATATTCCAGGTGTTGTGAGGTAGGAAAAGATGAAAATTTTCCCTCCAGGAGTGTACAGTATAGGAGGAGAGATAATACATGAATGTAGGAAACTACCATATATGACTCCATGTCTCATGAGAGGTATAGATTTCATGTTGGTCTAGGTGGGAGGAGCGCCAGTAAGGGGTGGCTCTCTGGTGTGAGATGATGAATTACAGGAACGAAAAAGCTTCGAAAGGTCACACTTTGTAAGGGGTGCAGGACCACCTGTGGAAAGTACAACCTGCATTTTATACCCCTGGAAGCTCTGGACCCAAACACAATGTCAGTGGAAAGAATGTCCAAATTTTTAATACAAATGAAAATGACAACTTCCATTCATAGGCACACCAGACAGATTTTAGGGCTGATCTGGGGGACTCTGGACTTTTTGCATGTGCTGTGGCTCTCGTCCGTTGCAACTGCACAGCTGCTCCCGGGGGGCAGATGTGAAGGCAGTCCTCTTGCTGCGACTGCTGTCCTTGGCAGCAGCAATGGGCTCAGGGAATTATATCTCTTACTCAACTCACTAAACAGCAGTTTGGAGCGATAAGCCGTAGAATTTTAAAATGCTGATTTGAAGTAGATTGCCCTTGACTTTCCACAGTGGAGACTGATTGGTCTTCGTGGCTGTATTTTGTTTGGTTTTGATCATTGCCTAATAATCCACAGATCCAAAATGTTCTGTGCTTTGTGAACAGAACTTGCAAATAATAATAGGTTAGATTTGGGGTGAAGGAAAAGTATAACAGGAGTAGAGAAGCTCACATAGAAGCTCCAATTTCTTTAATCTTCCTATTAATTTTGTGTTGGGCTGTTGTCATGGATTCGTATTTGCCCTAGACGGTTCATCATTTACGATAAAAATTCTCAATATTATCTCACTGTCTCATTATCTAATTAAAAATGTACCTTTTTCCCCTTTTTTCTTTAAAAGGTCTTATCTGGGCTCTGAATAAATGTTCTTTTATCCCAAAGTTTGCCAGTGGTGAGGAGATACATACTGTCTGTGTGATTTTCATTTAAATTACTTTGTTTTAAAATATACTGTGTTGTCTTTATCGTCCCTGAGCCAGAATACACGCTACTTCCCCAACATTTTCTCCATATATCCATCGGCATGTAATGAATCTGAAGTCTGTCCTGGTTACAGACTACAAATCTTTGTTGCAAATCTTTAAGTGTTTCTGAAATTTCAGGCAGTATTTTAAACCAAGCTTCCACATTGTAAAATTGGGGAACTTTAAAAGTTCGTCATAGGAGATATAGGAGTGCTGCTATATGCTGGGGGTGAAACCAAGGTCTGATGCAGTATGAAGAATCACTGAGGTTCTTGTTTATACACACATACACGCACGTGCTCACACACACACACACACACACTTCCCATGTTTACTCTTGATTTGCTAAATCAGAATCTCTTAGTGAGGGCCTGGAAGTATGTACATAGTTTTGTGTACTCTTCACCTGGCTTCCCCTACTAGTGACATCTTATGTAGCTACAGAAGCATATTAAAACCAGGAAACTGACATTGGCACATTAACTAGACTACAGATCATATTCAGCTTTCACCGTTTTAAAACCTGCATTCACTTATGTGTGTCTGTGCGTATGCATGTGCACATGTGTGGTTCTATGCAGTAGCATTTTGCATTTTTGATAAGCCCTCCAAGTGAGTTATGATCAGACAAGTTTTATACACACCGATTTAGTGCAATTATTCACAAACAGAATTCAGAAGAATTTCCCTGGTGTCTTTTTTTTTTTAATTAATTTTTATTGGAGTATAGTTGTTTTACAATGTTGTGTTCATTTCTACTGTACAGCAAAATGAATCAGCTAAACATATACATATATTCCCTCTTTTATGGATTTCCTTCCCATTTAGGTCACCACAGTGCATTAAGTAGAGTTCCCTGTGCTATACAGTATGTTCTCATTAGGTGTCTATTTTATACATAGTATCAATAGAGTACATGTGTCAGTCCCAATCTCCCAATTCCTCCCACGCCTCCACTGTTTCCCCTTGGTATCCATACATTTGTTCTCTGTGTCAGTGTCTCTATTTCTGCTTTGCAAATAAGATCACCTATACCATTTTTCTAGATTCCACATATACACGTTAATATACAATATTTGTTTTTCTCTTCCTGATTTCACTCCGTGTGGCACTCCGTAGGTCCACCCATGTCTCTACAAATGACCCCCTGGTGTCTTTTTTTTTTTTTTTTTGGCTGCGTTGGGTCTTCTTTGCTGTGCACGGGTTTTCTGTAGTTGCGGCAAGCGGTGGCTACTCTTCATCGTGGTGTGTGGGCTTCTCACTGCGGTGGCTTCTCTTGTTGTGGAGCATGGCCTGTAGGCGCGCGGGCTTCAGTAGTTGTGGCACGTGGGCTCAGTAGTTGTGGCGCACAGGCTTAGTTGCTCCGCGGCATGTGGGATCAGTGCTCGAACCCGTGTCCCCTGCATTGGCAGGCGGATTCTTAACCACTGCACCACCAATAAAACCATAGCCCCACCCCACAAATACCCGCCAGGTTCTCAATGAGGAGGACTGGATTAGACCGGGGATTAGCATCAAACATGAGTTGATTCTGATGCTGTTTTTCTACAAACCAAACTTTGAGAAACCCTGATTGTTATTTTAGCAGGTAGAACCAGGCTTCAGCGGAGAGACCTTTATTGAGAGGGAGCATGATGGAACAGCAATGGAACGTGATTAGTTATTTAAGGGAACATGTGTGCTAGGACCAGCTTTTTAATTACCTCTATCAAATGGGGCAATCTGGTTCACCACTCTGGTACTCAACTTCCCCATCTGTGAAATCAAGTGAATGGATTATATCATCTTTTATGTCCCTTGAAGCTCTCAAATATTCTAAATTCATGCTTGTAGTTCTTGGATTCTCTAGATTTGGCAAAATTATCATCCCTTTTTTTACAGGGCATGATGTAAGACACGGACATTCAACAAAGTTATATTGATGTGAAGGGATCCAGTTGATTTCATAAATCTAAGGAGATTATTAATGATATGAATACTGTTGATGTATTTTAATCCACAAGAGGGGTTTCATGTGTAAAGAGAAAAAATAATAAATTAATTAACCATTGTATAATACACATATTCTACAAATATTTAATGAAAATAAATTGCTTTGAGTTTTTCCAATCAAACTAAGTACCTGTGAATTTCCAATTTTAGTTAATATTAAATTGAATTTTGATAAATATCCTACTGCCCTTCAGTTCAATATAAATTCTTTAAAGAGATTAGCTATCTTCCCATTTATTTTGTTACACTTTTGACCTAATTGTTATGAACCACATTTTGTAAGCTTTCAAATGAAATCTCAGTCATTCTAGCTAGTCAGGCAATTTAGGATGAGTTCACTGAAAGCAGTTTTCTACAAAGATAGAATTAGACCAGCAGCTGGAACCACTTTTGCTACCCAGAAATATAATAGTTTATTTATTATCGCTTGTCTTTATTGTATCTATTCACAGCTGAAGTCATTAGGCACAATTTAAGATATTCTGAAATGAAGACCATTCTCTGTCTCTAAAACTTTTGACAAAAACAATGATAAAAAAAAAAAGAAGAGTAAACACACAAAGGCCCAAAGGACACAACTCTATTATTTCTCTCAGTCCTAGGGAAAGTAGAAACGGCAGCTGCCAATCGGAACCTCACAGTTGAGTTTCAAATTCTCCCCAGCTTTGATGACTTTGGCCCTTTTAAGTATTCCTCCTTTCAACTTTGATTTCTGAAAAAACATTTTGTCTCAATTTCTGGCCTGTTGATAGGGAAAAGTTGCTGTAGGCATGCATGACTAAAAAGATAGCTTTGTCAGTTTCCAGTGGCTGGGCTTAGTCATACATTCTTGCACTTGAGTACTCTGTATTTGAAATTATTTTTCTATTGATGAAATCCCTTGAACAAGATACTGCAACTTTCTTTGCCCTGTAGTTGAATATTTTATTTGCTTATTAGAGTAGGATTGTTTTAAATACTACAAGTGTAGGGTAAGAGGCAAACTAAGTGGTATAGGAATGAGGTGTCAGCCTAGAAGCCAGAACAGCCGGGTCCAGTCCCAGCCTTGTCTCACATCAGTCACATCACCTTGAGCAAGACGCTGATCTCTTTCTCAGCCTCAGCTTTCTTTTTGCTGCTTTGAGAATGGTATAAATATCTGTTGTGTTCATTCCACTGGATTACATAATAAGGTTATGAATGTTAAGGTAATTTGCAAATGCAGATTTTAGAGCTTAGTTTTATCATCTCTGTAATGAGAAACCAGATGAAGAATGCAAAATGGAAGATAACTAAATCCTATAATTTCTCTATCATCGGTGTATATTTTAAAAGATATAATGCTGTTTCTAGGCTAATATTTTATTGTATATATGCTAAATATAATGTTTGACAAGACAAACAACAACATATATGGAATTATTTGGGGGAGGAAAGGTGACAATAACTACCAGTAAGACGTGGGGGAGGACCTTTATTTTTTATTAAACTTTTGAGAATACTTTTAGATTTACAGAAAGCTTGTGAAGTTAGGACAGAGAGGTCCCACATATCCCACTCCCTGTTCCCACTGTTATTAACATCTTACCTTATTATGGTACACTTGTCTCAATTAATGAACCAATATTGATGCATTTTTATTAACTAAAGTCCATTGTTTATTCAGATTTTCTTAATTTTTACCTAATGCCGCTTTTCTATTCCAGGGTCCCATCTAGGACAGCATATTATATTTAGTTGTTATGTCTTCTTGGGTCCTTCTGCTGGTGACAATTTCTCAGGCTTTCCTTGTTTTTGATGACCTCAGCAATCTGGGGGATTCCTGGTCGGGTACTTTGGATAATATCCATCAATTGGGATTATCTGACGTTTTTCTCATTTTCAGATTGGGGTTCTCGGTTTGGAGGAGGAAGATCACAGAGGTGAAGTGTCCTTCTCATCATATCTTATCAAGGGTGCCCACTAACAACATGACTGATCACTGTTGATGTTGACCTCGATCACCTGGCTGAGGTATGGATAACACACTTGATTCATGTTGACTGACATTATGGAAATAAGTGTTAGACACGTGGAATCTGAATTCTATTTTAATTTCATTTGCATTGAATAGAATGATTATTGGAGCCTGAAGTCTTCTCTTCAGTGTGGAGCTGAGTCAGCAATCTATGATTACTCTGCCTAAAGTCATAAAATAGACTAATGAAACATGATAGGTATAACTGGTAAATTATAAAGCCGTATATATGTGAGGTTTAAAATATTATTCTGGAAAGAATCCATCTGCATCAGTGTGCTAGGATAATAGTAATTAGCTTTACAGGTTAATGGAAAACTAGTGTTATTTATGAAACACCATAAGGAACGATTCATTATTCCTCATGGTATTAATTTTGCAAATACCTGGAAAGCCTCCTTTAATTATCAAAATTGTACAAGCCTTCTCCCTGAGCCAGAGCTAGATCCTTATTCTGCTTTTTTGTCAAATCTATTCTAATCTTCCAAATGCCCCATTTGGGGGCTCTCTTCACTATGTATCATCCATACTTTTCAGACCAGGGCTGCTTCCTTAACCAGTTTTTCTTACCACTATCACCAAGAGATATGCTATCAATTGCTCTCAGAATAAGTGGTTTCCATTCATTTGACTATGAAGTACTAATTAAATATGGTAACATTGACAATGTAACCTATATCCAAATCACAAGCATAGAAAAATTGTATGTGTAAAGGCTAAAAATAAAAATCTTGAACATATTGACAGGGTGGATAGTTATATTCTTGAGCTTACTGGAAAAATTCCTTAGTGATGGCTTGACATTTGTGGGGCAGCGGGGGTGAAGAGACGCTAACATATGTTTGCCAAATTACCTTATTCACTCAACCTAAATACACTATTATGTACCCAGTTTGAAATATATAAGTAATATGTTTTCTTTCAATACTGAATAACCAGGACTAAAACTACAAACCAGTTAAAAATAATTATACCTATAAGATTATAGGACTATGGGATGACTGGATTCCACTGATGTTACCAATAGTTAAAAGTTCATAACAATACAGATAAAAATATAAACCTCTTACTAATTTCAAACTCCAGAGAATATCAAAAATAAATACATAGATATTTTCTAATTGAGAACTTAAATGCATAGATATAAAATAAATTCCATTTGTTTTACAGAAAATACCATAGAGCAATATTATTATGAAACACAGCTAGGCAAGGAGTGAGGGAAGGCTAAGAACCAATAAAATTAAAGTTACATGGATAGGTGTTTTTTATAGTAAGATTCTGATGCTGAAGAATTTTTACACGTAGTATTCGTTCGGTGCCTTGTATTTACCATTGGTCTTCCAGTAAGAATCAATCATCCTGTATGTTTAGACCAAATTTAGACCAAATCTTCCAAACGCTGACTTTGCAGCCTTTCCTCCACACGGACATTTCCATTTCTTCACTGTGGAACCTGTTGTTACTTTCCTAGTTAAGACTTTAGTTGCCAAGAGTAGAGTAGAACCTTTACCAAGATTCACCAGTTATTAACTTTTCTGTTTTTTACTTGATATGAATAATTTATTGAATGAGAAACGAGGACAGGGAGATTTCAAACCCAAAACTGGTATAAAGTTCAGAGACATGGTATTACAGGATAGCTTCTAAAGTGAAAAGGAGGATGTCATTTAGCCTTTTCAATGATTGGTTATTACATTGGAGGTTTCCAGACTGCAGGAGGTTGGTGAAAAGTGATTATCTTATACCATTTGGGGAAGATGACTTAAGTTTTATGATTATCAAAGACATTGACAAGAAATAACCTAAATTACATTTCACTTACGTTCCTGAAATGAACCACCTAGTTTCACATAAGTGGCTTAAAGGGTTTCTGTCAGCTTGAGGGATTTTTAAACCTGGCTTCATTTCATTTTATTTTAAAAGAATTATCAAAATAACTTAAGACAATCTAAAGGTCCAGTAGTAGGAATTCATAATATAAATTACAGAATTTCCATATGATAGATGACTGTGCAGTTATTTATAGTTATGTGGGGATATTAAACAACATGGAAAAATGTTACCATGCTTCTATATATTGGAAATGTGAACACACCTTCCTTGACCACACCCCATTGTGAGCAAAACAGCCTCTCCCACTCCTCTTGCAGCCAGGGAGGGGGGCCTTGCTTTACCACATGTTTCCTCCTTCCACTGTTGTTGATTGGCTCAGGAGAGTAACAGATCCCAGGGTAACCAATTAGTAGACTTGCCAGCAACCTATTATCTGTATCTGCTGGATGAAACACAGCAGGGCAGAGTTGGAAATTTGTACTAAAAACCCAGAAATCACAAGACAATAGAGTGAGAGCTCAGTTAAAAGGCAATAAGGTAGATTAAAGATTGAGAAACTGCTGTAAGAAGTAGTAAACTGAAACTATGAGGGAACAAAAATTAAGAATAAGTAGACAGAGCAATTGAAGGCAGGGCAAACAGACAGATGGAGGGCAGCCAACCATGCTGTCAATGCAGCTCTGCAGCAGGACTCCAGCTCCTGCTGTGGGGTTCTTGGCAGATGCCTGGCCTCCAGATCCAAACTCCAGCCCTTTGCACAGGAACCGGCCCTAACCTGGCCCCTGTTCGTAGATTTCCAAGACAATTTCCTTGTCATTCTTTGCAAATCCTTTCAGGATGGCCTCAGTGGATCTCTGTCTTGCAACTGTTACAAGGGTATATAGACTATGAGCCCAATTTTTTCTTTTTTTTAATGCTTCAATTTTATTTTATTTATTATTTTTATACAGCAGGTTCTTATTAGTCATCAGTTTTATACACATCAATGTATACATGTCATTCCCAATCGCCCAATTCATTACCCCCCCCAACCCGCCGCTATCTCCCCTTGGTGTCTGTACATTTGTTCTCTACATCTGTGTTTCAATTTCTGCCCTGCAAACCGGTTCATCTGTACCATTTTTCTAGATTCCACATATATGCGTTAATATATGATATTTGTTTTTCTCTTTCTGACTTACTTCACTCTGTATGACAGTCTCTAGTTATATCCATGTCTCAACAAATGACCCAATTTCGTTCCTTTTTATGGCTGAGTAATATTCCATTGTCTCTATGTACCACAACTTCTTTATCCATTCGTCTGTCGATGGGCAATTAGGTTGCTTCCATGACCTGGCTATTGTTAATAGTGCTGCAATGAACATTGGGGTGCATGTGTCTTTTTGAACTATGGTTTTCTCTGGGTATATGCCTAGTAGTGGGATTGCTGGATTGTATGGTAATTCTATTTTTAGTTTTTTAAGGAACCTCCATACTGTTCTCCGTAGTGGTTGTATCAATTTACATTCCCACCAACAGTGCAAGAGGGTTCCCTTTTCTCCACACCCTCTCCAGCATTTGTTGTTTGTAGATTTTCTGATGATGCCCATTCTAACTGGTGTGAGGTGATACCTCATTGTAGTTTTGATTAGCATTTCTCTAATAATTAGTGATGTTGAGCAGCTTTTCATGTGCCTCGTGTCCATCTGTATGTCTTCTTTGGAGAAATGTCTATTTAGGTCTTCTGCCCATTTTTGGATTGGGTTGTTTGTTTTTTTAATATTGAGCTGCATGAGCTGTTTATATATTTTTGCAGATTAATCCTTTGTCCGTTGATTCGTTTGCAAATATTTTCTCCCATTCTGAGGGTTGTCTTTTCGTCTTGTTTATGGTTTCCTTTGCTGTGCAAAAGCTTTGAAGTTTCATTAGGTCTCATTTGTTTACTTTCGTTTTTATTTCCATTACTCTAGGAGGTGGATCAAAAAAGATCTTGCT